CTCTCTCTCTCTCTCTCTCTCTCTCTCTCTCTCTCTCTCTCTCTCTCATCTAGTTTCCACCATAACTATTCATTCTCTCCTTAAACCCAACCAGTCACCTGCCGACCATCTATGACCATCACACCACCCACCCCACACACCCACACCCACACACCCACCCCACCCCACCCCCACCCCACCCCACCCCACCCCACCCACCCCTACACCCACCCACCCACCCCACCCACCCCACCCCACCCCACCTACCCCCCACCATACCTGTCCCCACCACATCCACCCATTTATCCTAACCAACACCACTTACATTAAACCATTAAACCACCATTAAACAACCATTGAACCACCCCAAAATAAAAGAATTCTCTCGCTAAATACCACCAATAACCACCACCATCACCTCCTTTAAGTTGCGTGGTTTTTATTTATTCTCCAAAGTCTAAAACCAGAGAAGAAACAGCTGGGTGAAGTAGCTACCATCAATAACTATTTGAAATGACGGATTGGTCGACGCCTCTGGAATGGGAATCAAAACTTTGGGAATATTTTGTAACGTGACAGAAATGGTTGAAATTTTGATCTATTTTTTATTGATTTATTTACTTATTTATTATTATTTTTTTTAGGGGGGGAGGGGAGGGTGAGGGGTCCTTTGTGTGTTTTTAATTTTTTGGTGGGAGATTTGAGGTGTCTGTGTGTGTGTGTGTGTGTGTGTGTGTGTGTGTGTGTGTGTGTGTGTGTGTGTGTGTGTGTGTATGTGTGTAGGGTAATAAGTGAGTAAGGATGTCTGTTTGTCTGTGAGTCCGTGTGTATGTTTGACAAAAGGTAAGAGAAAGAAAGAGTTGATGAATGTTGCTGTGAATGAAGGCCACCACAGACACACACACACACACACATCTCACCGCAGATGGCCCCCCCCCACTTTCAACCCATTGAAGGTACACCCTATCCCCGCCACCCAACCACCCACAGCGTGCCACCCACAGCCCAGGGCGGCCTCAACAAATTTTATCCCATTTATCTTCGTCAGTGAGCTGTAAATCGGTGTGATACAGTGCTATGCCACATGACCACCGAGGTAGAAAATCCCTGGACGAGGTATTAGGAAAACAGACCTAAAGCCGCACCTCTCTTACGTCGGGGGATTTTTTTACTCTTTATTTCGTTTATTTTTTATTAATTTTTGTATAAGCTGGAACGTTTAATCTAATGTTGTTAAGTTTGTCCTCCAGAAGAAAACCAGACCTTGAGTACGACGCCATCTTGAGGAGAATAACTTGATGGTGTTCGAGTGTTTTGCTACAAGTTATTATTGATATATGAGTTTTTTTCTCGTTGGTGTAATGTTAATAGGAGTCAAGTGTGTGTTAAGTTTATTTAAGAAAATGACGATGGTGAGGCGAAAGTGGTCGATTTTTTTTCCGAGGATTATTTATTATTAATTTAGCAGTGCGGTGGCCGGGCGGATACGGCTAGATTTACTTCCATTCTAAGGGTCGCTGGTTCATTCCCGGGACACTCAAGGGTCATCCAGCTATGAATGGGTTTATAATGTACAGTTGGGGAAATGAGGAGGGTCGAGTGTACTGTCGGCCACGCTGCCTCCTGGTGTACCCAAGATTTAGTTTATTCACCCTCGAGTTTTATCTTACACCCCTCACCCTCGACTTTCATCTCATCCTCGATGTTCACCCATGCCCTTCACCCTCCACCTTCACCAACTTTCACTCTACCCTGACTCACCTCGACCTCACTCTGGACTTTCACCATCGCCCTCACCCAAGACCTTCACCTCGCCCTTCACCCTGACCTCACCATCGCTCCTTCACCCAAGACCTTCACCTCGCCCTTCACTCTGACTCCTCACCATCGCCCTCACCTCGACCTCACCCTGGACTTTCACCATCGGCCTTCACTCAAGACCTTCACCCTCGCCCTTCACCCTGGACTTACACTCGCCCTTCACCCTGGACTTACACTGCCCTTCACCCTGACTTACACCTCGCCCTTCACCCTCGAGTCCTTCACTCCTCGACTTTCACCCCACCCTCGACATCCTTTCCCAGCCTCCACTTAACCTCCACCTCAACTCATTACCAACCTTCTCCCTCCCTCCCTCCCTCCTCCCTAACCCTACCCACCACCCTCTTCCGTCCATATCCCCATCCAACCCCCCCCACTCTCTTCCTCCTACCCCTCACCCCCTTCCTACCCCCACCCTATTAAACTAGGACTCAATATTGACCAAGCAAACACATTACCCGGCGTCTCGTAAACTATTACCGACCTGTGAATGTTATAGGTCCTTTTTTCTTCCTTTACAGACCCGATAGATAGATAGATAGATAGATAGATAGATAGATAAATAGATAGATAGATAGAATTAGGAAATTTTCCGACGAGAGGATTCCACGATATTGGAAAGACCAAGAAAGAAGATGGATGTAAGTAAGCATGATGATGATGATGATGATGATGATGATGATGATGATGATGATGATGATGATGACTCATGATGATGATGATGATGATGATGATCATGATGATGATGATGATGATGATGATGATGATGATGATGATGATGATGATGATGATGATGATGATGATGATGATGATGATGATGATGATGATGATGATCATCATCATCATCATCATCATGACGAATGCATAATGTCTTTCCCCTTTTCATGTCATGACAAGAAAATCCTAGACACAAGAGTCTCTGTACACTTTCTCCTCCATATTGTCTTCCATCACAGGTTAAGTGGACCAGTTAGATACGTTGTTATATATCCAGTTAAGAGGAAAAAATAACTTAGGAGCCTTTGAGAATCCATCTTTGTATCGTAGTTTAAGTGAGTCAGTTAGATACGCTTCTCATATCAACAGTTAGGGAGGAAAAATATCACTTTACGGACCTTTGAGGAATTGAAACGTTGTATTGGTGTTAGTATGTGTGTGTGTGTGTGTGTGTGTGTGTGTGTGTGTGTGTGTGTGTGTGTGTGTGTGTGTGTGTGTGTGTGTGTGTGTGTGTGTTTGACAAAAGGTGATGATTGGCGATAACACACACACACACACACACACACACTCTATAATAATAATAATGGTTGACACTCATGTAACGAGGATGGCCGGCCCTAGGGCCACCTAGTCGTGAATTTGTTTAAGGTGTAGAAGCTGTCGCCAACACAACAACCACACCCTGAGTTAACGAGCTGCATGACCCAGTGTCAAGGAATAGTCTGAGAAGACCGGACAACTCGCCAACTGCACTGGCTAACCATTACCCCGGAACACGATCCGCAAATCAATTAACATCCAGCTCCCCAATTACTGCTGGGTAGACAGAGGCAAATGGCGTAAAGGAACCTGCCCATAGTTTCACCCTGCCCGGGGATCAAACCCAGGTCCGCTCGCTTGCGAGGCGAGCGTGTTGACCATTACACCACAGGTTGCCACAAACATACACACACTGGAGGGGTGGTGACACAGGTGGACGGAATGATGGAAAGAATAGAGTATAGGGATGAGACAGACAGACAGACAGACAGATATAAACATACAGACAAACAGACAGGGAGAGAGAGAGAGAGAGAGAGAGAGAGAGAGAGAGAGAGAGAGAGAGAGAGAGAGACAAAGGTAAGGCGTCCGTCTACAGAGATGAAAGGGAATAGTTTTCCGTGTTTTTAAATCCTTGCTTATAGTGAGGTGAGAGTAGTGTATCTTTTGAGAGAGAGAGGAGCAGAGAGAGAGAGAGAGAGAGAGAGAGAGAGAGAGAGAGAGAGAGAGAGAGAGAGAGAGAGTCTAGGATTTTCTTCAATTTTACACCTCATCTCTCTCTCTCTCTCTCTCTCCTCCCTTCCTTCGATCAACGTCTCACCTCCATTAGCTCCTTCTCCTCATTCACACCTCCCCCTACTCTTCCTACTATCTCTAACCTTCCCTCCCTCCCCACTCTTGCCCCTCTATCTTGTCTCTCCTTCACGCCTCTCACTCCCTCTCCCTCCCACTCAATCACCCCACTCGATACTCTGCATATCTATTACTGAAGATGTTTAAACTCTGCGACAGTCAGTTGATTCTTGCTGCTGTCTGTCAGCTGATTCTTGTTGCGGTCTGTCGGTTGATTTTTGTTGTGGTCTGTCAGCTGATTCTTGTTGTGGTTTGTCAGTTGATTCTTGTTGTAGTCTGTCAGCTGATTCTTGTTGTGGTCTGTCGGTTGATTTTTGTTGTAGTCTGTCAGTTGATTCTTGTTGTGGTCTCAGCTGATTCTTGCTGTGCTGTCATCAGCTGATTTCGGCTGTTGTTCATCAGCTGATTCTTGTTGTGGGTTCGTCAGCTGATTCTTGTTGTGGTCTGTCGAAGAATTTTGTTAGTGGTCTATCAGCTGATTCTTGTTGTGGCTTGTCAGCTGATTCTTGTTAGTCTGTCAGCTGATCTTGCAGTATGTCAGCTGATTCTGTTGTGGTCTATCAGCTGATTCTTGTTGTGGTCTGTCAGTTGATTTTGTTGTGGTCTGCTTCATTGATTCTGTTGTGGTCTGTCGGTTGATTTGTTGTAGTCTTGTCAGCTGACTTTTTGTGTTAGGCTTGTCAGCTGATTCTGTTGCAGTCTGTCAGCTGATTCTAGTCTGGTCAGCTGATTCTGTTGTGGCTCCGTCAGCTGGATTCTTTGCTGTGGCTCCGTCAGAAGGATTCTTGTTGTGGTCTCAGCTACCCTTGTTGTGGTCTGTCAGTTGATCCATGTTGTGGTCTCAGCTGATTCTTGCTGTGGTCTGTCTGCTGATTCTGGTGTGGTCTGTCAGCTGATTCGTTGTGGTCTGGTCAGCTGATTCTTGCTGTGGTCTGGTCAGTTGATTCTTTGTTGTGGTCTCAGCTGATTCTTGTTAGGTCTGTCAGCTGATTCTCGCTGTGGTCTGTCAGCTGATTCTCTGTTGTGGTCTGTCTGTTGATTCTTGTTGTGGCTGTCAGCTGATTCTCACAGGGTCTGTCAGCTGATTCTTG